GTCTATGGGCGAAGGCTATTGTAGGCAAGTTAAATAATTTGTGTTGGGCGCTTTTTACAATTTGTGAATTAATAGGCGAAATTGATTGTTTGAATTAATTATGAGCAAAATTAATTAAAGTTTTGAGAAAGGTGAAAACTAAGGCTATTTATACATTCGAGAAATCTATGTTTAATAATAAAACTATGACTAATAATATAAACATTTGATTCTTAACGATTGTCCGAATTAATAATCGTTAACTGTTAATCAGTTGATAAGACTTTTAATACGTCTCAATTTGGTAATCGTTAAATGATAAGGTATAGTATGTCCCGATTTGGTAATCGTTGAATGATAATCATTTCGGCTAATGGTGTGATCCGTTCGTCCGTCACACCGTCGCACGCGAGACTCGTGTTGAACCAAGTTTTTAAGCACCGAATCATTGAATTGGTATAGAAAGATATCTAACGTATAATTTTTGAATTTCAAAAAATCATTCTGTAACACCTTGCCGATCTATTGTGACACCGGAATTACTTTATAAAAACACGAATATTTGGCTACTTGTTCATAATTCCGGAAACATGGAGTTGAAGAACGTTGATATAAAATCGCGACCAATTAACATCAATTGTCTACAATGGTCTGAAGAAAATCACATTTCAGTTATATCACCCTCAGGCATAGATATTTTTGTAAGTATCAATAAAATGACGAAATCCAGAATGTTATCGTTATAATTAGTCTTATTGTTCTGTAGATACCATTATATAGAAGCAGGTATACTCGTGATGCTATAGTAGCTTGTCAAGATTCTAGTGACCGAAATCCTATAAAGATTAACGGTAATCCTCATTCATGGTGATAATTACTTTGCATATACAAAAATTATTGATCCTCTTATAAAATTTCAGATTTTAGTTCCAAACTTATAAAAGATATACCAGAAGTTTTCAAATGCTTTACTTGGTCTCCAATAGGTTGTTCTATTATTCAAAGGTATTTGCTCAGTTTTTTGTGTTTAAGATAATAATGCCGATGAATTGATTATTTATATGCCCATTCTTCACGCAGTTGCTTATTTGTTGCAATAACATCAAGATTTCATGTAGCAATATATGGTCCAAAGGATGGTCCTTTACAGAGAGATTGGATAGAGGTATTTTATAATTTAGTCAATGGTCTTTTTTTTGACACGTGTTTTTCAAAATTAGCTATTCAGTTTATTACATAATAGGTTGAAAATATGTCACCTAGATTGTTGCAGCATTACACAGATCAAAACTCTGAAAATATAACTGATGTGACCCTATTGAATAAGCTGCAATCCATATGTATGTTTTCTATAACTATAAGAATTATTCCTTCATATTATATCTTAATACATTTATTTGCTCCAATGTCTCAGCTGTATCGTGGTCTCCATTGTGTTTTCCAGAAAGATTTGACCCTTTTTCTGTAATAGCAATAGGAAGTAAGGCTGGTACTGTAACATTATGGAGGTAGGTATATATTATATATTGTGTTTTTATATAGAGTTTCTTTGATATTTGCTACTAAAATTGTCTTATGATAATTTATTTATGAATTAAGTTATAAAAATGGACTAGATCATATCTTAACAATGCAACCACATGTCTCTTGGATTATAACATCATCTTGGTCGCGTTGGCTCGAATTGGGCCAGGATCAATGTATGATCTCAATTTATTAGGAAGCAATTTATTATTATCATATTAACCACACATATTTGTGATTTTTATGATAAAGACGTATCAAGTTTTGTGACTGCATCAGATGACGGTTCGGTTTATATGTGGAGAGTAACTATATCATTAATTCCTGTTATATCTTCGGGTATAGAAAATATAAAGATACAAGCTTCAATCACTCTACATGCGACACTTTCTCAAGCTGACAATCGACCTGCATCAATAATGAAATGGTATGAGTGTAAAGTATGTACTATCGTAATGTTTAAATTGTTTGTACATAAATATGTATTTCAACATCAAATAATATTGGATATAAGAACGCAGGTGAAAAGTTGGCTATAGTCAAAGGTCTCAAGATCTATGTTTGGACATCAACTGGATCACCTTTAATTAATACAAATTTAGATCCTCCAAAGATGTTCAAAATTCCTTTATCTAAAGGAATAATAGGTGACATTTCATTACGCAAAGTTTTTATCTCATTTATTATCTTTATTTCTTTGATCTGAGATATGCTTTTTTATTAGCAATGATTTGGAATTATGATGGAACTCAACTGTATATCTTCAATAATGAAGGTAATAATCTGACACTTAACATCTCAGGAGCAGAGATTGATATTAATGAATCTACAACAAAATATATCAATGATGTCCTGGCTACAAAGTGGCAATTACAATATGAGGATAATGAGGATGAGGATGAAGATGAAGAATTTGATGAAGAATCTTTTTCAAATGAAAATGAGGGAAATGATGATATGGCACTATCAGAAGTTGAACCTTTATACTTTGGAGCCGATGGCTCTGGCAACAGTCTTTTTTTTGCTGTTCTTTTTGC